GAAAGGTTGTGGGTTTTGAGAAAAACTTAGTTGATTACTACCCGCTACTGACCCAACAATACTACTTCTAGGTTCAACAACATACAATGTAACATCATCTTGTGAAACACTAATGTAAGCAATGAATCGTTCAACATCTTCATTGTCGGTTAACAAATAAACTTTACCATTTCTCTGATAAGATAGCCTAAATCCACTTAGGGGCTCTAAATTCAATTTATTTTAAACACGTAGCATTAGAGTTTCATAAGTTAACTTTTGTAAAGACAATTTTAGTTGAAGATTCATGGGTAAAGGCATATATTGTAAAACACCATGAACATTATCCCATGACCCTCCAAAACACAAATCTATCCAAACATGATCAACATTAGATGATTTCATGGTTGTAAATTAATTTACTAAACAGACGAGCTGCGAAACTAAAACCTGTTGCCGGATTGGGAAGGATGTCGTTGGATATAGGAACGGATGTCGCCGGAGAGAGTGATAGATGGAGATGGAATGAGTTGCGATTTAGGGATTTAGTTTATGATTTCAGTGTTATATACCCAAAATTTCAGTGTTGTGATTTTCAGATTCTCGTTGCGATTTACGGATTATCGTTGCGATTTACAGATTCTCGTTGCGATTTACGGATTATCGTTGCGATTTACAGATTCTCGTTGCGATTTACGGATTATCGTTGCGATTTACGGATACGCGTTGCGATATACGGATACGCATTGCGATTTACGGATACGCGTTGCGATATACGGATACACGTTGCGATTTATGTGTTCGCGTTGCGATTTTCATATTCGCGTTGCGATTTTGGAAAATCGCAATGCGAATTTGTACTATCGCATTGCGATTTTCAAGAATCGCGTTGCGATTTTGGAAACTGATTTGCGATTCTGGGGATCGCGTTGCGATTTTTATTTCGCGTTGCGATTTTGTTGGTCATTTTGGCAAATCCAAAAAAAGTTGGTTAAAATCGTATATTATAACTTTTTTTTGGTCACTGAGGCGATTTTTCGTTAAAAAAATTCAAGATTTAATTGCCTCCTCGTTGCACATTAATAAATTAAGTCCTCGTTGGCTATGTAATCCAATTTTTTAAAGGTTAAAGTATAGTTTTAGTCGAACTAGCATGGTCAAATTCGAATTTGATATTTATAATTTAACATTGACTTTTTATAATGTCACTAGTTAATCCAAGTACTTAACAAATATTAACTATTTCCAAATAATAATGTTATCGTGATTTTTCTTTGGAAATTATGGATTTAGGATTTATAAATAAATATTATTCTCCTTAAAACTTACGAGTTTGAATAATTATATCTATAATGTATGTTAATAATAGATTGAGAAAATAAAAATAAAGATACAAGATAGAAATTAAAAAATAAAAAATATTTGCTATGGGTAATAATAATAAGGCTGGTGCCATCTCGGCAAACCTAAGTTGTAATATTTTATTTTAAGGTAAAAAGGTTCATTTTTGAGTGAAAACATTTAGTTAACAGACGAGTAACACTTCAACATAGGTATACTTGACAAACTTGACCCGAATCAGATTTATTCGATCTGATACCTGATATAGACTCGAGCATGATGACTAAACTTGATCTGAAACTCAAATCATACCCGACCTGAACCAAGATCGATCCAAATTTTAGCTAAACCAATATGGACCCATATCTATTTGAATTGAACCGAAAATAACTTGAATCAAAATTAACTCAAACCGAAAGCAACCCGAATCGAAAACTGAAAGAAACCCGAATAAAAAACTAAAAGCAAACCGAATCGAAAAATAACTTAAACCGAAAGTAATCCAAATTTAATTTACCCAAATCCGATTCTAACCAAATATTGACTTGATTTTTAAATAAATGAGTAAAAGTGACTGCATAAATTTTTGTTATTATTTATTTGTTAACAAAATAATAAATAGTAAAATGATGCATGTTTTATTATTATTTTTTTGCATTATATTACTAATTACTTGTCACCTGTGATAATAGTTTAATAACCATCAATATCACGTTTGATAATAATTTAATAATTTATTATTATTTTCTCACATTTAAAAGATCATATCCATATTTGATTCGATAATTTTTTTAAAAAAAATTGATATGAAGTATTATAAAGTAAGTTACTAAAAAAAATTATTTTATATAATTAAATTTAATTATCATCACTTAAATTATTTATTATAATTAATTAAAAAATAGATTTTATTTTTTTGCAAACACAAATTAACATAAAACACAAATATCAAATAAAAAAATTCACTTTAATTCAAACTATCAAAGTTATTTTAAATATAAATTAATTTAAACAAACTTAAAAATTTAATAAAAACATCAAATTTATAATAAAAATATTTTAAACTTTACTTAGGGATTACTTTTTTAAAATTTAATAAAATATTAAATTCATAATTAAACATTGGACATATGAGGCTTAAATGCCCCATTTCACCTAAAATATAATATTTGTAATTACCCCTTAAAATATTTTTCAAGATGTTTCACCCTTCAATTATAAATTATTGATCCATTTATCTCAAATAATTAATACCGTTAAAAATAAAATTCATGGACTCACATCATCTTTTAATATTTATTTTATTTATCTAAATAAATAAAAAACAAATAATAAAATAAAATAGCTAAACTACCAAGATTGCCCCTCTTCTTCCCTAACCCAACACCTCTGTTTCCTTTCTCCAAGTCGACGGTTTGAAACTCAAAATCTTCAAAGATATGACAAAGATTGATTAAAAAGGCTGCATTTTCACCCTAAAAACTACAACTTGAAGCTTAACGAAAGATATAATTTCCCAGAAACTAGCTTCATAGTATACACATTTGAAATATCAAAAGCAATAAAAATTGAAGCTTTCTACGAGATTTTCCAAGTAAACAAACAAAGGGTAAGAAAAACCGACAAAGAAGAAAATGAATAAAGAATACTATAAGTAGGAATTTCCAGTTTTCCACTCCGTTTTCATTCAGATCCAAAAACAAAGAGAAAAAATCCTAACCTAAGCGGTGAGCACAACAAAACCACCAGACGCCTTAATCTTCTTCTCGGCAGAAACCAACAACCACGATTGGTTGATTCTTCGTCAACACACCTTTAAATAACGGAACTGGGTCACATCGACCATTGGTGCCGAATACTTGTTGGTCTTTTCATTCCTCCGGCGTTTCCTCTACCTCCCGGATGCTTGTGGTGCTTTCCGATACGGCTATGGCCGGAGCTCAGGTGGCCCCTCTTCTTCCTATTATTCTTGAAAAAGTTGTCATTGTTGTGTACTCGAATAGGTACAGATCTTTGGGTGGGGGAAGAAGGTTATACCTTGAAAAAAAACACAGAGGTGCTGGGTTAGGGAAATAGGGAGATGTTACGGGAATAGAGGAAGGGGCAATCTTGGTAGTTTAGCTAATTTATTTTATTATTTGATTTTTATCTATTTATATAAATAAAATAAATATTAAGAGGTGACATGATATATTATTATTGGTCCATAAATTTTATTTTTAACGGTGTTAAAGATTTGAGGCAAATAAGATAACGATTTATAATTGAAGGGGTTAAACGTCTTGAAAAATATTGTAAGGGGCAATTTGTTACAAATGGTATAGTTCGGGGGAAATGGCGCATTTAAGCCGACATATGATTGAAACTTTTAATTGATAATGAAATTTATAATAGCAAATTTTATTTTTTATTAAATAGTTCTTACTATAAACGTTTCACATCAAATCAATATAAAATTCAAGTTACAAATTTTAGCATAGGATCGAGTTTGAGTTAGATTATCATCTCTAAACGATGATTTAATTGAAAATATTGAACGATTGAAAGTTGAAATTAAGCTTAAATGATAAGATTGACAGATAAATAGACATATTTTTATAAGAATATATAATTCTATATATACTTAATTAGACTCATATATGATTCAACCAGAATTGACTTAATCCAAAGGTTAACCCGAACCGAAAATTAATCGATTCGACATTGACTCAAATTAAAAAATCAACCGATTTGATATTAACCCGATCCAAAAATCGATCGATCTGATATTAACCCGACCCGAAATCTAACCAATTCGATATTAATCCGACATTAATATCAAATGATATGATATTAACTAGAACTGAAAAACAACCAACTCGAAATTGACTCAACCCAATACCCGAATCGACCCAATTTACTATACACCCGAACTTAATCCGAACCAGACTCGATCTGATTCGAATGAAATTAAACCAAATATAATCTAGATGCAAAATAACTCGATTTGAAATGACTTGACCCAAATCCAACCCGAGTAACCAGTTTTAATAAACATTAAAGTATTTTATCCTAAAATAAAACTTTAAGGGCTAAATTATCAAAAAATTAAATAAAGGACAAAATAATTTTTCAGTTTAATGTTGGAGTGTTTTTGCATTAAAATAAAATGTTAGAGACTAAAATATTAAAAAAATTAAATGTTAAAATGATCATTTTAATAAACGGTGTAGACTCATTTTCATATTATGTAATATACTAATATAAACAAACGAAACCAAAATATTAAACTTTAAACCATAATTTTAAGACTCCGTGATTCCATACGGTAACCAGGGCTTCTTCCTTCTTTTATCAAACACTGATGCAGATTGCAGGGCCAATTTATTACCACATTCATTTAGGGCCAGATATCTATCATATACCCAATATGCTCTATTATTATAACAATTATTTAGGCCTATAAATCTAAATATTACATTCCCAGTGGCTAGTTAGCACCTATCACCTATTATTGCAAAGTATAGGACGTAGGCTTGTTTCTTTGTCATGCATGGCAAAGAGAAAAAGCTCGCCGACATGCAAACAAAGGTACAAACCCATGCATTTTGATGTTTAGGAAAGGATCACATGGGAGCAAAGGACTCTAAATTGGTTATTAAAAGGCAAGGGAAGACAGAATAAAAGAAGAGAGCTGCGAGAGGGAAAGAAGAAGAGAATTTTCGAAATCTGGGTAAGGTCTTTCTTCTATTTTTTTTTTGAACCTTTCTCTTAATCTAAATGTAAAGAAGACTTTTTACAGTTTTAATCTTTTACACTTTGTTCTGTTTGTCAGATTTCTCGTTTAGCAAGATGGTCATTGTTTATTTGTTGATGCACCGTGTTCCGATGCTTCTCATCGCAGTTGCTGCACTGCTCATTGTAACTCCGGTCATTGGTTACCGTCCACGGCCGGAATTGAAACCCAAGAGGTCCCAGAATTTGGTGAGCTCATCAAAGTTGGACGACATAAGATATCACATGGGACCTGTCCTCACCGCCGATATCACCATCCACCCGATCTGGTACGGTGCGTGGCAGAATTCCCAAAAGAATATCATCCGCGAGTTTATCTACTCAATCTCCGCCGTTCACTCCAAGCATCCTTCGGTTGCCGAGTGGTGGGAGACCGTACAGCTTTACACTGACAAAACGGGCGCGAACGTTTCCCGTAAGGTTCTCTTAGCGGAGGAAAATGATAGTTTTTACTCCCACGGGAAGTCCCTCACGCGCTCGTCGATGCAGTACGTGATAAGAAGCGCCGTAACAGCCGGCGCGAAACCGTTGCTGATTACCAAGAGCGGGTTGTACCTCTTGCTCACATCCCCTGACGTGCACGTCCAGGATTTTTGCAACCATATTTGTGGGTTCCACAATTTGACGTGGAAATCAATCGTTGGGTACACGCTCCTATACGCATGGGTGGGTAACTCTGGCAAGCTTTTCCCGCAAACATGCGCTTTCCCTTTCGCCGTGCCAGAATACATGGCGGGGTTCAAGGCGTTAAAGCCACCCAACGGTGACGTGGGAGTGGACGGAATGATAAGCTTTATCGGACACGAGGTGGCCGAGCTGGCCACCGACCCCGTTGGAAACGCTTGGTACTCAGGGCAAGAGGTGTTGTTGGGAAATAAAACGAGTACGAGTAATTTCCCTATAATCAGATTAGTGAGAATGCGAAATAAAAGCGGAAAAAATAATACCCGAAATTGATAACAGAGTTCAGCCAATTTACTTACGTCTCCGGACTGCTGCAGATCTTTTACTAATAGAGAAAATTTACAGGTGTTTACAAAACACTCACTACTCACAAGAAAACTCCCTAGTATTGAGAGAAAAAAAATGATTTTTAGGATGATTTTGAAGCTAAATGAGCTAGGGTATTTATAAATGGAGCATAGAGACTAATCTTTGAAAATACCCTAAAGTTCAATGACTCAATTTTGTAATTATCCATATTACAAAATAATAAAAAATTTAACAGCCTAATTTTTCAAGCAGTCGGCTGCTATTAGCAGCCCACGTTTTTTTTAATTTTCAACAATCTCCCACTTGAAAACTGATTTTAATCTGTCCTCACACCTCGATCGTTGCAGCAACATTTCTAGTCTTGTTATTCTAGCATGCCAACTGAAGCTGAACACAACTTCAGTTTGTCCATAATCACCGTTTTTATCAACATGTTTGCCGGATTTTGAGCTCCACTAATCTTTTCAAGCTTCAAAATCCAATCTTCCAGAAGAGACCGGATAAAATGATATCTCAATTGTATGCGTTTCATCCTGGAATGAAAAGAAGGATTCTTCGCTAGATGGATAGCACTTTGACTGTCGTAATACAATACATTGTTTTCTTGTTTCTTGCCTAACTCTTTCAAGAAACTTTGGAGCCAAACCATCTCCTTGTTGGCTTCCGTAATAGCGACATATTCTGTTTCGGTTGTGGAGAGAGCAACTATCTTCTGTAGTTGAGAAAGCCAACTCACTGCGGTTCCTCCTAGAGTATAAACAAACCCTGTAGTGCTCCTTCTGATGTCAACATTTCCAGTTAAGTCAGCATCTACATAGCCTATCAGTATCATATCTTCACATTTGAAACAAAGTGATTTGTTTGTAGTACCCCGCAGATATCTGAGGATCCATTTGACAGCTTCCAGTGTACCTTGCCCGGATTATTCATGTACCTGCTAACAGCTCCCACTGCATGAGCAATATCTGGTCTGGTACAAACCATGACATACATCAGACTTCCAATTGTTGAGTCATACAACACCTTCACCATGTGTGCACGTTCTTCCTCCGTCTTTGGTGACTGTTCTTTGGATAGTCTAAAATGAACACCTAAAGGTGTATTTACTGGTTTAGCATCTTGCATGTTGAACCTAGAGAATACTTTGTTGATGTACTCAGCCTGTGATAACATCAAAGTCCTTGACTTTGTGTCTCTCTTGATCCTCATCCCTAGAATCTGCTTTGCAGCGCCCAGATCTTTTATTGCAAACTGCTTCGACAATTTTTGCTTCAAGTTTATAATCTCTTACATGTTTGAACCTGCAACAAGCATGCCATCAACATACAATAATAAAATAATGAAACTGTTACCGAACTTCTTGATGTAGCAACAATGTTCTGCTTGACATCTGGTAAAACCACTGCTACCCATGAAACTATCAAACTTCTTGTACCACTGTCTAGGAGCTTGTTTTAAACCATATAAGCTCTTCTTCAACCTGCATACCAGGTTTTTCTTGCTTGCCTCTATGAAGCCTTCTGACTTCCTCATATATATTTCTTCCTCCAAATCACCATGAAGGAAAGCTGTCTTTACATCTAACTGCTCAAGATATAGATTTTCTGCAGCTACAATTTTCAACACCAGTCTGATTGTAGACAGTTTCACGACTGGATAGAAAATTTCATTGTAGTCGATACCTTCTTTTTGCTGAAAACCTTTGACAACCAATCTTGCTTTGTAGCGTTTGCTCCCATCGTGCTCTTCTTTAATCCTGTAAATCCACTTGTTATGGAGTGCTTTTTTGCCTGGTGGTAATTCAGTTAATTCCCACGTCTGATTTGACATAAGCGAGTTCATCTCATCTTTCATGGAAGACTCCTACTTAACTGAATCCTCCACATGCATTGCTTCATCATAGCACTCTGGTTCACCATTGTCAGTCAGCAACAAGTAGTGCAAAGAATGAGAATACCGTTGGGTTGGTTTAGGAATTCTGGAGGAGCGTCTCAGTTCTGGTGTGCCTGGTTCTTCTTGAACTGCTTCAGGACTAATCTGAACATCATTTCCAGAAATCTCCTCGAACTCAGCAAATTCCTTTGTTTCAGCTTCGGTATTGGAGCTACTTGATTCTATGGTTAACCTATCTTTGTACATCAGATTCTCATTGAAAATGACATCTCTGCTTCTGATGATCTTCTGATTTTCGTAGTCCCAAAACCGGTAACCGAACTTATCACCACCATAACCAACAAAGATACATTTGTTGGACTTGACATCAAGTTTACTTCTTTCAGTAGAGTTTATGTGTACGTAAGAAATACAACCAAATACTCTTAAGTGTGAAAGGTTTATTTCTTTCTTGCTCCAAAATTCATCTGGTATTCCACCATCAAAAGGAACTGAGGGCCCACGGTTGATCAGGTAAGCTGCAGTGTTGATAGCTTCAGCCCATAGAAATTTGGGCTATCCGACATGTATCCTCATGCTTCTGGAACGTTAATTCAATGTTTTGTTCATGCGCTCTGCTACGCCATTCTGCTACGATGTCATGGGAACTGTTATCTCCATCTTGATCCCATTGTTTGCACATAAATCTCTGAATCTTCTATTTTTGTACTCTCCTCCATTGTCAGACCTCAACCGCTTGACTTTCAAACCATTATCATTTTCCACCATGGCCTTCCATTTTCTGAAAGTATTAAAGACTTCTGATTTTTTCTTCAGAAAATAAACCCACACATTCCTTGTAGAATCATCAATGAAGGTGACATAATATAATGAGCCTGCAAGAGATGGAACTGGAGATGGTCCCCATACATGAGTATGAACCAACTCTAATTTTTCAGCCTTGGGTGTCTTACCAATCTTTACAAAGCTGACTTTCTTTTGTTTGCCAAAGATACAATCCTCGCATAGTCCGACATCTATATTCTTTAGATCCGTCAGCTTCCCTTTTGACAAAAGTGTCTTCATCTCTTTCTCGCTCATATGACCAAGCCTTTGGTGCCATAGGTTTGATTTTCCATCAGCATCTGCTGCAGCAATGATATTATCTAAATTTGAGGTTACATAGAGAGTACCATTCTTTTTACCACGAGCAATGACGAGTGCTTCTTTGGTAGTCTTCCATTCACAGCTTGAAAAGGTTGTACTATAACCTTCTCCATCAAGCTGTCCTACAGAAATCAGATTTCTTTTGAGGCCAGGAATATGTCTCACTCCTGTCAGCTTCCAGGTAGTTTGTTTTGGCAACTTTAGTCGGATGTCTCATTTTCCTACGATCTTCAAGGTTTCATCATCAGCTAGATGAACCTTCCCAAAATCACCACTGACATAATTCTCCATGATTTCTCGGCATGGGGTAGAGTGGAAAGATGCCCCTGAATCCAAGATCCATGATTCAATCGGACTGTTGACGCTTAGAATCATGGCATCACATGTCTTCTCTATCACGTTGATAGATTCCTGTGCGCCAATATTTTTCTTCGGTGCTCGGCAATCTCTTTTAAAGTGACCCTTCTTGCCGCAGTTATAACAGGTAAAATCTTTCTTCCCCGTTCTTGATTTTTCCCTTATGGATTTGGATCTGCCACGACTTGAATTTTTTTATGAAGTTCTCCCTCTAGACTCCGTGTGCAAGGTTGAGGAGGTTGATGCTTCACCTGATTCTCTCCGTCGAATTTCTTCGCTCAATACCAGATCCCGTACATCGTCAAATTTTAATTTGTTGTTTCCCGACGAGCTGTTGTCTGATGTAACAGTAACATTCCAACTGTCTGGTAGAGATGATAGGAGAATTAAAGCTCGAACTTCATCATCAAATTCAATTTCTACTGAACTCAATTGGATTGTGATTGTGTTGAGTTCATTTAGGTGTTGTGCCACCGATGCCTCTTCTTCCATCCGCAAATTAAATAATCGCCTCATCAAATGAACTTTGTTTGAGGCTGATGGCTTCTCATACATACTGGAGAGAGCCGCCATAAGACCCGTCGTAGCCTTTTCCTTTGCTATGTTGAAAGTAACATTTCGGGACAACGTCAGTCGGATAACTCTGAGGGCTTGTCTGTGGAGAAGAGCCCAGTCTTCATTCTTCATGCCCTCTGGTTGCTTTCCTGAGAGAGGTTAATATAAATTTTTCTGGTACAGAAAATCTTCAATCTGCATCTTCCAAAAGCCAAAGTCCGCACCATCGAACTTTTCAATTTTCACATTCCCTTCTTCTCCAGCCATCGCTCCCACTCGAATCTGGCTTCGTTTGGATCGTTTCTGACAATTCTTGCGAACCACCGTGTATTAAAACACCTCTGTCGACAATTTCGTATCGCCGACAAATTGTTTTTACTATTCACGAAATTCACTATTCACGTGAACAATAATGAATAGTAATCTCGTAAAAAAATTGACAAAATTCACAACCAAAAGCTCTGATACCAGTTGTTAGGAAATAAAACGAGTACGAGTAATTTCCCTATAACCAGATTAGTGAGAATGCGAAATAAAAGCGAAAAAAATAATACCCGAAATTAGGTGTTTACAAAACACTCACTACTCACAAGAAAAGTCTCTAGTATTGGAAGAAAGAAATGATTTTTGGGATGATTTTGAAGCTACATGAGCTAAGGTATTTATAGTTGAAGCTTAGGGACTAATATTTGAAAATACCATAAAGTTCAATGACTTAATTTTATAATTATCCCTATTATAAAATAATAAAAAATTTAGCAGCCCACGTTTTTTTTTTTAATTTTCAACAAGTGTATCATTCGTAAATAGCGGATATATGCGAGGGCATTTATGGAACTGGAGATGATGTGCCTTACACGGGACATGTATTGAAGGGTAAAGATGGCGCCACGTATAACATGAATGGGATCAAACGGAGGTACTTGGTTCAGTGGGCCTGGAACTATGTCGTGAGTGCCTGTACTGGGCCCAATGCTCTTGATCAGTAGTAATTTTTATTTTATGAAACTTGTGTTCTAAAGATTGTTAAGTTCGTCAAATAACTTGGTTAGCCGTTAGCTTCTCATGGGATTTCGCTATAATTATAGTATGAAATGGTTATAGTAACACCCGCAATTACGACACTGCAATCACAACATAGAAGACACTGCAAGCACGATTTCGTATTATGATTATAATATTCATTACAAAGACTAATCCAAGCAAAAACAAAAACCCGAACCAGAAATAGTCAGTCTTGTTTCCCATAACTGTCCAGATCAAAACAAATTTTCAAGGACAACGCACCTTCTCTTATGAGTCAACTACACTAAAATAGCCAAATAAAATTACTCGACAGGCTTTTGGCAGCTTCCTGGGATGTTTACGAGCTTTGCGCGACGAGTGTTTTGATCAACCTCCACTCTGAGACCAAGTCTAGTGAGTTCAGGCGTATCAATAGTCCCTTGTAGCTGTAAATCAGCCACAGTCTGTTGGTTTTCTGCATTACCTTCTAGTAAGTTTCTCACAGACCAAATCCCCCATTCCCTCAAATACGGGTTGTCATCATCGGTTACACACTGCTGTAACAACAGTGGAATCCCGTTCTTCTGCCTTATTTCAGCCTGTACGTGCTTCCTTCTATAGGCACAATTTCCGATTACCGCAACCAAATCTCTCCGGAATCCTTTGTAAGGGCAAAGCTTAGATGAATGCAAAATCAGTTCTTGATTTTCACTATCTTTCAGGGTTTTTCTTATGGTTGATGGCAGCTCAAGATCACGAAGCAAAGATAATAAAATGTCTAAAAGTTCATTGGAGAGTAGCATGCCAATATCTACAGAGTCTTTCTTAAAGTCTCCTACATCGTCTCCAGCACAGATATCCCTCAAAATAATGAGAGAATATCCCATAACATCAACGGATGTAGAGCCAGTTGGAAGACCAGACTTGCCTCTAGTGGCAAAATCAACAATCGTTATGGATCTCTTAAATATTTCAAGAACACACAATGCTGAATCATCGGGAAATCTGACTTCATCAATTCGTTCATTTAGGATATCAGATATGATTCTCAGAAGAAAAGCCTGCTCTGATGAGAAACAATTATCCCCTAAAGTCGTGTTTCCCCTGTTCTCAGAGGCATTGCCTTCACATAGTTTAGAGAAGAGTGCTGGGAAGTGAATGTCTTCCAAACATAATCTCGAGAGAAGTAACTTAAACCAATCTTCTCTGTAACCAACTGATACGACAACATTAAGAAAAAAGATATTTAGAGTTAGCTAAATTTATTTAAAACAAAGTACAGAACACTAATAAAAACATAAAATCGAAGTCTAGTCATCAGTACCTGAAACGACAGTACGAATTAAACCGACTAAAATAGGCAACCCCGAGTCTCTACAGTGTTCAGTAGCCAGCCCAGGTCTTCCATCACAACAGGTGTATAGAATCATACATAAAGGATCACTAGTCTCCAGACTACGGATGCTTGCTAGCATGAAAAACTCATTTGGGAACAACTTAAGCCAAATAGCCTGTTGATGCTCTGCTCCAGCCAATGAAACATTTACCAGACCTTGCAAACTGAAACGAGTAATCCCAAAATCCGGATCAGAAGCAAATGCCGCAGACCTCAAAACAGTGGCAACAATTTCTATTCCATTTTGCTCCAAAAAAGAATTCTGATTGGCAACTTCTCCAGCACATAGATTCCTAAGAAGCTTCAAAGATTGCATGAGATATTCTCGATTTGATGTGCGATGGAGAGATTCCACAAGCTTCAAAACAGTAGGAAGGATATTCCTTAATGCAAGTTCTGCACGGCCAACGGTATCCCTAGAAGCTTGTATAAGAACCTCAAGGGCTTCATGTAGCGAAGATGAGTTTGATGCGCTAAGTAAAGGCTGCAAAACATCTTCCCGATCGTTGAACTCCGGCAATGATTCTCCAACCATTGCAGAGCAATTTGAAGATTCCAGAACTAGCAAACAAGATATGACAATTATATGCAATAAAAGGGCAAGAAAATCAATTCACATTCTTCACAAGTTAAGGATATATCTACAACCAAAGAAGCCGACCCAAATCATTTACAGTTTATTTCTCAGACTACAAATTCAGAAGCCATATATAAAAACTTCCATCTTCTTCAAGCCCGTAAATTTGCAGATTCAAACAAATAAAACAACAATGCCAGTAGAGTGTGATCGTATGTGAGAAACTGAGAAAACCAAATAGAGAAGAGCAAGGCACCTCCTACTCTCTGAGTCTCCTCAATCTTTGTTTTACTTCTCCTCAATGTGGTGTTTTTTTTGGGATTTAGGGTTTTTTTAAAAAAAAGTTAATCCTTTATTTAAATAGTCATATATCGGTATAAATAACGCTCGTGCCTCTCAAATACTTGACAGTAAAAAGTCGTTAATTGACACATTTAGCCTCCAATTGAACATTTAATTTTTAAAACCCTTCCGGCCTTCCCTCTGATTCCTCTTTCATTTCTCTAGCACCTCCATGAACATGGCGGAACGCGAAATAGAAATCCTTCGAGGGCATGAGCTACGACTCCTTCGCTGCACCCTCCGTCCACCTCCGTCTGATTCTTCATCTTCTCACTTCCAACATTCAGATGATTTTGCTGCTTCACTTCCTCCTCTTCACGCTCTTATCTCCAACTTCCTCACTTCCGTCGAGGCCGGTGACTACTTCGGAGCCCTTTCCTCGGACGCCGCACGACTCGTCCTTGCCTCGCCCGACTACGACCTGTCTACTCACTCTCCCGACCGAGTTTACTCCGAATTACTAGACCGAGTCGAATCGTTCATTAATGAACCTTCCATTGACGATGCGGAGAAAGCTTGTAGGGTTTTTCTTGTTGCGTGCGTTGCTGTGGCAGCTTTATTCTGGTTCACTCAGTGCAATTTGACTGGGTAAGGCCTTCGATTTCTATCTAAATGAAATACTGTCTATTTGTAGCTCTTTTATTTGCCTCTTACTTTCCGAATAATATATATGTTATAGGAACCGAGTTTTGATATAAGTCCAACAATATTCTCTAAAATCGGAATAAATAATTTACGTTTTTATAAAGCAAGAAAATGTGTTATTTTATTTTTATGTAAGAAATATGTTAAATTTGAAGTTGCATTTAGTATTTTGTTTATTTTAATCGTTTATGAATTTCATTTTCTGCTAATACTTTTGTTTTAAGACTACTTTTTCTCTCCTTTTTATATAAAATATTATGACTTTAAAAATTAGGCCCGTGGATGGGTTACCGAAGCGGCCACTACCAATGAAGGCGTGGTGGGAAGGAAGTGAGATGGTGGAATGGGAGAATTGGGCGAGGATTCAGCTCATGGCTGCTGGCTCAGATTTACTTGGCAAGTTCTCTTATCTTCAGGTATGTATATTATCAGTTCATAAGCCCGTCCTTCAAATTTATAGAAATAAAAATTGTTAATTTCTTTCTCTTGTTGCTGCTTTTACTATTTGCTTTACACCTGAGAATGATCAGAAACTTTTAGATTGGGGTCTATAAGTGAAAGAGAAAGGACTTTGAAGAAGTAAAACATAGATGAACATTTTTCTTTAAATAATTATAATATTTTAGTTGACCCTTCCTTTAGTTATTTACTCATTTTTTAGCCTCAGTGTAGAAACCAAGTAGGAGTGTAATAGTGACTCTGGTTTTTCTTCATAAGATATAGGAGCTGGAGGATGGAAAAGCAGTGGGTGATTTTGTTTATTCATGCTTAGTTAAGATAGAAGGTGATAGGAAAGAACATATAAGTACTTTCTATCTTCATCCATGCTAACGAAAAGTGACCATCTCCAATTTGAAAGATTATTGAAGAGCACATGGGAGACATGCCAGTTGAGTGTTGCTAATTTACAGTATTTTTTGCTGTTTGACAAAGTATTAGGCTTTTGTTGCCTTTTTTACTTGATGTCTGCAATTGATTTTTGCCTTTTCTTAAAACAGAAACAGATGATGAAATGCAGATAATATATTATCAACAATGATAATTAACTCATAATTAATTATCTGTTATAGAAGGGAATTGCTTTCTTTTGAGCCTGATTATAGTTAAATAATGCACGCAATGTACATAGCTGATTTCAACTCTCTTTATTGTTGCATACAATAATATTAACTTCTCCGTATAAAATCTGAATGTTGAAATCTGTTCCTCGAATAATTTGAGGATCTAGTTTGTTGTTTTGGACATGTTCTTGATTTCAACTTTACAGTTTGATTTCTATAAATTTACTTACGATTGTCTTTTTTTGCTTTGTAGTACCTAGTTTTTGCCAAAATGTTACTCCTGAGGACAAGAGATCTACTATTTGAAGCAAGTGTCATGTCCACGTTTGAAATCAAGAGCATTTCATGGTGGCTGTTCAGAGCTTTACTTATTCATCAACGAATTTTGGATGAGCGGTCTTCTTCACTTTTTGACTTATTGCAAGTATTTAAGGGTGAAAATTCAGATAATTTTGGAAGTTTGGAAAAAGTGACAAGTTACTGGGGTGATCAATTGCAAAATGGGGAAGCATCTACAATTGTTTCAATAGTTCATTTAGAAGCAGGGGTGCTAGAATATATTTTTGGAAGACTTGATCCTTGCAGGTGAGTTTCAAGGAAATAAGGCGGAGGCTTATTACCGATATATTGATTCTTATTTCAAAGTATATTCATTGAACCGATTGATAGGAGTATTTATGCATAGCTTGATCTGGTCTTAATAGAATTGTACATAAATTTGTGGAGCTATTTATTTACAATGGACAAGATTACCCCCTTGTTCTCATCTCACGTGAAAATTTTACGAAACATCAATTAACTGCTCATTTTTACTCATTGTCGCATACTTCAGAATTTGACAGATAAGTCTATTCCAAGTCGCATCTTTTTCCTGTCAATATGCATTTGTGGTATTACTCGAGAAATAGTTGTTTTTAACAGGTTTTACCTAGTCGACCATACCTTTTCTCAAGGCATGGCAGTTGCTTAAATTTTT